GTACTTGAATAAAGATGGTTCCTCAGTCTTTTAAGTCTTTTTTAGCTTTTGAGTCCTGTAGTCTGGTTATTTACTTAATTCTATATGATAACAGAACAGTCATTAGAGAATGAAGGAAGATGCGCCTTCCTTTCAAACAGAAGCTGTCATGAGCAGGGGTGTCAGGACAAAGTTCCAGTGGCTGAGTAACCGCTTGAAGAAATCCGAACTTGGGTGAAAGCTAGCATTCCACATCCATGAGAATAAGGGTTAAGTATCTACATTTCAGTCAGAATCTCAAAACATGAATCCTGAAGCTAAAACTACTCTGCTCAGACCCAGCTGGCCAACTTTAATATGAGTGTCCCTCACTGGAATGTGCGACTTTTCGTGAATGTGATTTTATTGAATCAGTCTTTCTTGAATGCACCCTGGGAGATGGATTCAGATTGTGGATTGAGAAATTTTACTCTGATGGAAAAGTCGCATCCTGACGTGCCTTTATGAACTATTCACAGAACCTGCATTCATCCATTTAGTCAGCAAATATTCCTGGAGTGCCTGCAACCATACGAGGTGCTGGGGATAAAACAGCAACAGAATGACATCCTTGTACTCGAGAGAGGATTCCAAGATTCTAAGGGCTGGGGCTGGGGACGGTGATTCCTTTCTTTGGGTGCTCAGAGAAGCTTCTGTGATGAGGTCAGTGACATTTGAGCTGAGACCCGAAGAAAGGGTACATATAGTAGATATTTGGGGGCAGAGCATTCTGGACAGATGAAACAGCAAAGAATGTCAGCGTGGCTTGAAGCAGGTGAGGTCACAGAAGTGTGGGGCAGGGGCAGATCATGGAGGGTCTTGCAGGCCATTTTAAAGGATGTAAGTCCTGAATGAGGTAAGGGGCCATTTGGGGGTTTTGGAGTAGAGGCGAGGCATTATCACACTGGCCTTTCCTGAGAACACTGGCTGTTCTATGTGAACTGGGGAGCGGGAGAAGAGGAGGCAAGGAGGCAGTTGGGAGGTCACGGCAATGGGTTTTGGTGGCTTGGACACTTGGCAGTGCAGAAGAAGAGATGTATTCTGGAACAATTTCAGAGGTACAGCCGAGGGGATTTGCTGATGGATTGGATACAGGGTATGAGAGAAAAACTGCAGTTAAGGACTCCAAAGGTTTTCAGAAGCTGGAAGTTGGCTGGAGGAGCAGATACGAGAGAAGTTGGGAGTCTGGTTTTGCTCTCACCGAGTGTAAGTTGCTTCTGAGACCTCCTGTGGTGATGTGGTAGACCTATCCTGAAGATCAGTAGGGAGGTTCAGGCTGGAGACATAAATACAGGAGCCAAGGGGATAGGGGTCTTACTTAAAGCTCAGACTGGAGATCACATAGGAAGTGAATGTAGGTAAAGACCCAGACAGAGGACCAAGCTCTGGGACATTCCCATGGTAGAGAGGTCAGCGGAATGAAGAGGAACCAGCCAAAGACTAGGTAGGAGCAGCCAGTGAGGTGGGAACAGAATCCAGAGAGCAGTCCCATCGGTCAACTGGAAAAGCGTTTAATTAAGAAGGGACTTGGAAGCTGCCAAATGGTGCAGAGAAGGAAAGATGAGCACGGGCTGTGAGCAGGCACTGGGCATACAGCGTGAGCCGGAGCGCCAGGCACTTGGTCTGTGTTCTTGCTTTTTTGTGGAATGATGATAATCCTTGCTTCAAACTACTCATAGTTTAGAGAAAGAGCCCATATGTGCAAAGGCATTTAACCCAGCCAGGAAGCTTCTCTGAGGGAAGGTGGGGCTTCATCAGCTGAGTCTTCAGTGGGTTTCTATGTGCAGGCCTCTTCTCTCTATTCTGGATTATTGGGTCACCCCCCCCCCCGCCCCCAGGCTCCCTAAGAAGTGATCCACATCTGAGAAATGAGAAAGAAACAGAGGAAGCAAGTGACTGCTCTCTCTGATCAAAGGACAGAACCACAGACAAAGAAAAGACCTGGGAAAAAGCAAGAATGGGATAGCTCTTCAAAAGTGGTTTAGAATTCATTTCAAGTTTAGTAAATTCCCTTCTGCCCAAGGAACTGGGCTTTCCTTAGGAAAAGCTGCTGTAATGCACAGATGGCCTCAAGAGGCCTCCCTTTCCTTGAAATGCATGGCTTCCATGCCGCAGGAGGCAAGAGCTGCTCAAAGTGCAGACCTGGTTGCCTAAGGCCAGCACCAAATTCGGCAAACAATGGACTAAAACTTTTAAGAAATCAAAGCGCCCCTTTACCCATAACTTAGTTTATCAGCTTAAAAAGTGAAAAACCATAGGGCAATGCTGAGTAAACAAGTATTGTGAAGAGTAAGGAGGACTGTGGTGTCGAGGTATTTAGTATTTAGGGGATGATCCTGACTTACCTCTTTGGTGACTATCTTATTAAGCATTCCAATTTGAGGAGCAACTTATCAAGTGAGCATAATATTAATAATAGCTAATATTTATTAGGTGTTTAGTGTGCTCCAAGCCTTTTTACAGTATTAAGTTACCCAACCATATAAGGAAGATACTGTTACCCTGAATACTAATAATCCTTCGAGGTAGGTACTTACACAAAGAATTTGTGGCTTAGGGAAATTAACAATTGGTCCAAGGTCACCCCTTGTGAGGGGCAGAACTGGGATATGAACATATACCTAACTCCACGGCTACCTACCCTGCAGAGCCTATGGCACATGGATTCGTGAAGGTATAAATGTTACTAAGAAATGGTTTCTTAATTTGAAAACATACAGTGTTGTTTTTTTTTTTTTTAAGATTTTTATTTATTTATTTGACAGAGATCACAAGTAGGCAGAGAGGCAGGCAGAGAGAAAGGAGGAAGCAGACTCCCCTGCTGAGCAGAGAGCCCGATGTGGGGCTCGATCCCAGGACCCTGGGACCATGACCTGAGCCAAAGGCAGAGGCTTTAACCCACTGAGCCACCCAGGCGCCCCTAAACATACAGTGGTTCTTAACCAGGAATGAATCAGATTTGTCTGAGGGGATTTTAAGAAGAATACAACTGCCCAAGCCTTTTCTGGGAACAATCTATTCATTGGTTTGGGGTGGGGGGTAGGGATCAGCTCTGGAATCTGTTTATGTTTTTAAGTTCAACACCTGAACTTAAATCTTACGAGTACCCACCCTTGGTAGGGAACCACCATAGGGAGCTGCACGGGTGCACAGTGGCTAAATTTATCAGGTGGAACAGCCCAGTAGGACACAACAGCCTCCCAGCCTTCGAAGAGGATTACGGTGATTTGCCCAGCATTTAACTACAAAGAGTATTGAACTTGAACAACTCAAACTATCGAACTTCCACTTTGAGATGTTGCTTTCCTCTTCTCTTGAGAGCAGAGCTGGAAAGAAACGTGTGATTCTCCAGAGACCTTGGTGAGAAGTGGCAAAAGCAGCTGGGGTGGGCAGCGAGGCATTCTCACAAGTGAATTTGTGTAAGCAGTTCAGTCTGTCCGGCTGGCCGGATGGTGAGTTCAAACCTAGACGACGCAGTATTTATCCAGGGCTACTTTTCTGCCCGTCCACTCGGCAAACAGCCAGCGATAGTGAGCTCAGAGGCTGTGTGTTTCTGCTTCAGGCTGAAACCTGGACCCAGAAGGGGCTCTTTAACAGGGAAGGAACCAGGGAGAACTGGGAATCCACTGGGATGAAGGGAGAGAACATTTTCTGTCCATTTCTGAAATGAACAGATCTTCCGTAGTGACTTCAAGGAGCTTGAGTCATGGTGGGATTTGGAGTATGTAAGATTAAGTCTGAAGTCAGATAATAATCCATTAGTCCTCAAGTGCCTTCTGGACTTGCTTTTTTAGTGATTTTTATTCTCCCCATATATCTCCATCTCCACCCCCCCGCCCCAACAGCTTCCTGTTCTTGATGGCTCCTACCTTTCCCAGAATTACTCTATGCTCCTGCGAACCCTGGGCTCAGCTGGGATTTCCAATCATTAGTCCTGGCCACAGCTTCATGTCACAAAGATGTATTTGTCCCTTTGAGTGAATTTTGGTGGGAACCTGAGTGCTGGGAATCCACCCAGGCCCTTCCCTCCTGACCCTGCGGCAAGAGCTTTCTGAGGTCTGGCCTCACAGGCTCTGAGGACCAAAGAGAAAGAAAACTTGGAAAAGGGATTTTTTTTTTTTTTTTTTTTTAAATCACGGTCCTGGAGTATTGCGTAGACCGCTTCATTCCAAATAACAAGCGACACTGTGTCTCGGAGACAGAAAAGGACAGGCTCCTCGCCCCTTTGAGGAGAGAACCTGGGGAGCATTAAGTGCCTTCTGCGGGCTCTTTCCAGGGTTTTCCCAAGGCTGCGGAGAGGGGTTGGGGGTTGTGCAGGAGCGCTGGACTCAGGTTTTCTCTATCTTCCAGACTCTGTTTCCAGAACCTCACTTCTCTTCCTGAGTTCCCTCCTCTGCTTTCAAAAGCATATGGGAAACCAGGCCCGTGCCTTTCTCTTTAGGTCACCGGATTCTGTTTTGGGGCTGGCAGCGAGTATAGCCCCAGGTCCTGTTAGGGCATGTGAGTGGTGGTGGGTGAGATTTGCCAACCTCTACGCTCTGGGGGATTTTAAGTGTTCCAGGACTGGCTGTTCCCCTAGTCCTCCTTTTCCCTTCCCTCCCCTCCCTGACCCCTCTGCTGCTTCCCTGCCTGCAGACTCAGGGGACCCCAAAGGTGGAAGGGAGCTCCTACCCAGGCGGAAGAAGAGCCACCCAGTTGCCCCAGCTGCCTATACTTAGTTCTCCGCTGTCCGTCCTCATCCCTCCAGCGACTCCCTGGGTCTGAAGCACCAGCCCAATTTGAAACACCCCTCCCGCTTTGAAGGAGGCTGGGCTGGCCAGGGGGTTATTTTGGGAGCAGCTTCTGAGATCCAATGGCCTTGTTAGGGCAACACTGACCTTTCCGTCCCAGGAGGAGGGCAGGATCCAGAGAGGGGCGGGGCAGCGGCAGGGAGATCGACAGCCCCGCACACCCACTGGGTGGAGAAGGGGGCCTGCCCGGCTGCAAGAATTCAGCCTCAGGCTGGGGGCTGTCACCAAGGAGGAATTTCCCCTTTTCAAAAGGGACTGGGGACCCCTCCACCCCACCCCTTTCACTGTGCTTCTTAAAGGGATCACACCGTTTTTCTTCTGACTCCAAGGAAGCCAGACTTGGGACGCTCTTTGAAGACTTTGAATCTTTCCCTCCTGCTTCCTTCCCAACTGGCAGCCTTCCTGTGGCTGGTTGAGTCGGGACCTCCCAGGCATGGCACTGACCAGGCGACCCAGTGCTGACTTGGTGCCAGGGCTCATTCAGCCTCTGGTGGCATCTTGCTTCCTCCCTCCTGGGGCGCAGTGGTGAGTTAGGGGCGCCCAGCCCTGAGTGTGCTTGGAGTGTGTCGTTGGCACCCCCCATCACCCTCTCTCCCCCAAGCTGGAGGACGGTGAGGCTGTCAGGGGCTATGATGAGATGAGTGGGGGCCGCTTTGACTTTGATGATGGCGGGGCATACTGCGGGGGCTGGGAGGGGGGAAAGGCCCACGGACACGGACTGTGCACAGGCCCCAAGGGCCAGGGCGAATACTCGGGCTCCTGGAACTTTGGCTTCGAAGTGGCGGGCGTCTACACCTGGCCCAGTGGGAACACCTTCGAGGGATACTGGAGCCAGGGCAAAAGGCATGGGCTGGGCATAGAGACCAAGGGGCGCTGGCTTTACAAGGGCGAGTGGACACACGGCTTCAAGGGACGCTACGGAACTCGGCAGAGCAGCAGCAGTGGTGCCAAGTACGAAGGCACTTGGAACAACGGCCTGCAGGATGGCTATGGCACCGAGACCTATGCTGATGGAGGTGAGCCCAGCCTGGGGCCAGCAGAGCTAGTAGGAGCCAGACCCGTGAGGAAGACCAGTGGAGGGTGGGAAGAGGGAGGGGCAATGTGACACAGAATCAGAAGAGCCAGGATGTTCTTGCTGTGTGGCGTTGGGCAAGCTGCCCTACCTCTCTCAGCACCCATTTCCTCATTAGTGTGAAGGTTGGGCCAGTAACAGGGCCATTGAGTAGTGTCGGACAAGACCTGTTGTATAACTACACAGCACACATTCAGTAAAACCTAACTACTACCGTTGGCATGGTAGGATTACAATCAGCCATGGAATATACTCTGGCTTGTGCTCTAGAAGAATTTGGGTCTAATCTCAACTTTGCCATGAAAATTATTTTCAAGCCATAGATTATGAAGTATTCATTCATTCACCCATCCATCCACCCACCCACCCATCCATCCATCCATCCACTCATCCATCCATCCATCCATTGTTTTGTTTATAGCCTATTTCTGTTGTATCTCCTATTTGCCAGGTATTATAAAAAGAGTTAGATATAAAAAGGAATAAGATAACAGCCCAAGGTTTCAAACCCTGGCTTGTAGATAAACAATTATATACAAGTAGGTAGAGTGCTGTGGTAAAGAAGTTAGATTTGAGGAGGTCAGGGACTGCTTTAGAGCAGGTGACATCTGAGCTGGATCTTGTTGGGAAAACTGCTTTAGAGAGCACGTGAGTGGGGAGAGCAATGAGTTAGAAGCTCAAAAGCATGAGCGCTCCCAGTGGGTTAAGGAGATGAAGAGGAATTTTCTGTGGCCAAACAGCCATGGGAAGTGGCAGAGAAGATATCATCACCTCATCCCCTGGCTGTGACCTTGCATATATCACTTAGTTGGGCCTCAGTTTCCTGATCCACAAAATGGGCTTTAGAATGTCAGGTGCTGCTCAAAATATGGTCATTAGAGAGGGAGTATCAACATCATCTGTCCACTAGTTAAAATGCAAACTCGGGGGCCCCATCTAGACCTGAATCTGAATCTGAATCTCCAAGGGTAGGCCCAGGCATTTGTTTTAACGAGCCCCCCCCTGGGAATTTTTATATACGTTAAAGTTTAAGAAGCATTGCTTTACATCAGGCACTCTCCAACTATAGAGAGCCGGCCCAGCTGGCCTGCTGCCCGTTTTTGTACAGCTTATGAGCTGAAAGTGGTTTTAGATTTTGAAATATTTGAAAAAAATCAAACGTTGAACTCTACTTTGTGACATGTGGAAATTACATGAAAGTCCCTACATCATCTCCCTTTGGTCCAACGAGCCTGTAATATTTACTTTTCAGCTGTTTACAGGAAAGTTGGCTGGCTCTGCTTTAAATGGTCATTCAGTTTCCTTCCAGCTCAGGATACTTCTCTGAAGTCTCCTTCACATGCCCCATTGGAAAGAGTTGCTGACGCAGATGACTCAAAACTATAGCTACTTAAACAAAAATAGGTTGGCGTCTGTCAGAAGGCATTCACAGTATATTAGATGTGTCACTAGTCTCCCTTCTCTATGACAGAGGGCAGGAAGTGGGCAGTCTGGGAGTGGGTTTGGGGTGGAGCAGGAAGGCGCATGAGCTAGCCCAGGGTGGAAGTTATGCTCAAGTCGAGGCCTGTACAGGGGGGCGTCAGGTCCAGGATGCTCCCGACTGGGCTGCCTGCTGGTGGGTGTCTGGTGAGGGCCCACCCTCAAGTGTGGCTGGCTGTTAAGAGGTTGTGTCCCCAGAGTTTCTGTGGGTACAGTGGTAGTGACACAACACTGGCTGGACAGTGCTAGGACAAATTCTGGCTCCACGCTTCCTAATTTGGTGACCTTCAGCCATTTGCCAAACCTCTACAGTTCAGGGCAACTCAATTCCCTGGATGTTTATGCTGGCCACTGCGCTGAGCAGTGGGGACGAGTAGGGAACAGGCCTCAGTTTCTCTGGCTATAAGATGGAGAGGATCCTCGAGGGCTGGTTGGGTGTCGGTTATCTATGCAATGTGGTACACAGAATGCCAGATGTCTCTTCCCTCTTTCCTCTCTCCAAACCAAGGTGTGTGTGTTGAAGGCCTGGGTGTGAGTCGTAGAGACACACATTCCTGGGAAACTATGGACAGATTTCCCAATATGTCTTAAAGGAGGGGAAACCTATTCATTCACTCATTCGTTCATGCAATCAATATTATGGAGCACCAGCTACGTGTTGGGCACCATCCCATAGCAAATTCCAGGAGCCAGGGCAGGGAGCAAGGAAAATAGAGAAGGAAGAGGATGACTTTTTGGATAGCGTGGTCTGGGAAGCAGGATGGGAGGACTCGGGAGAGCGTAACGCCTTCCAGGCAGAGGGAATGGCAGTCACAAAGGCCCTGAGGCAGAACTGGACTTGGCATGTTTGAGGAACAGCAGGAATACCAGGTGGCAAGAATAGAGTGGATGAAGGGAACAGCAGGCAGGGGCTGACGTTGGAGCTGTGGGTGTGCGCCAGATCACGTAGGCATTGCAGAGCCCTGGGTTTGATTCTGGGTGTGCGCGGGAGCTCTTCAGGCCCGCTTAACTGCAAGATCTGCTCTCGGGCCGGGTTAACTGAAGACCTGCTCCTCTGGTTTGTCAGAAGCCCAGACTCTTCTTCCGAATGAGACAGTCCCACATCCAGGGGCCCTGGAAACCTCACGGATCTCTCTCTCAAGCCACACACGAGGTGCAACTCTCCAAAATTAGATGTGGCCACTGCTTTGGAAAATCTCTTTAATCAACCTGTCATCGGTTCCCTAAGGGTTTGTTAAGGACCTGCCCTTTGCTCCAGCCGGAGCAGAGCTGAAGAGAACGCAGACAATTAAGATCCAGGATTAGAAGCAGCTGGGAGTCGGGGAGCTCTGCGTTATTACCTTGGCCTATCCCATGATTTCATACCATGGAGCCTCAGTTTCATCACCAATAAAATGGGCTTATGCTAATCCCTCCTAAGATTTCTTGTGGGGAAAATGGGTACACGATAAATTGTAGTTGCTATAATTAGTATTAACTCTCATTAATTCGCTCCACTAATATGTACTGAGTGATTATCATGAAGCTGGCGGTATCGTGCTGGGAGGGAGGAGTGTAGAAATGAACAGAATGGAAATGGTCCCTATCTTCCATAGAATCTACAAGAAATCATGCTATAGGGTGTCGGGTGCTAGGCAGGAAAGTGGGGACTAAGGGAGGAAGAGGCAGGCAACTAACCAGACTGAGGCATTCAGGGAGGCTTCCTGGAGTAAGTGGCAAGCCGGACTCTGAAGTAAGGAGTGAGGCAGGTGGAAGGGGTCAAGGATGAGTGTTCCAGGTTGAGGGAACAGAGTACACGAAAGCCAGGAGGTCTAGAAGTTGCTGCCAGCCAGGAGATAAAGCTGAAGCTTGCATCTTATCCCTAGTGTTAGGAGGTACTGATCAGAGGGACCAAATGTCCCATTTCCTGCGGTCCCCACCTTACCTTGCAGTCACAGGAAAAAGCAGTGTTCCAAACTGGAAGCACTAATAGGAGGTAACTCCAGTTCAGGGAGTCATGAGCGGCATTTTTAAAAATGAAAGAACAGAACAGAAAAAGCAGAGCATTTCACAGCGCATAAGAAAGTATTGTTTCCTGAAACATCTGTTCAGCTGAAGATACACGTACACATACAATGTGTGTAGAAAGGCTTCTGTGTTTACACGCAGCATGTATTTCTTACTGCAGGTCATGGTCAAAAAAGTTTGAAAATCACGGCTCTAAAGTGACTTGATGTGCAGCTTCGTCGAAGCCGCTGCCCCTCCCCCCTCCACAGCCTCTCCCTCTCCTCCACACCTGTCGCCTGTCATGTCAGCTGGAGGTTGAGGAAGTTGTCCAGCTCTTCCCTGAAGAGGGGAAGGTGGCAAGGCAGCGAGCTCCTGCTCCCAAACCCAGCTATAAGCCTCCTGGCACCCCTCCCCCGCCTATAAGCCCTCTTCCTGCCCTGGCCATATAGAGCAAAATCAAAAATAGCTGCTGGCTTAAAGCCCCAAAGCAAGCGTTCACCCAGGCCTTAAGTAGTAATGCTCCTTTGGCCGCCTAGCTGTTCCCACCCCAGAGACCCACAGACTCCAGGACTAGAAGGGCCACTGGTAATCTTTGCTTTCCGAGGTCCTTGACCTGGAGCCCCGGCCTTGGCCTCAGAGGCCCATCAGTGTGCAGGCCATATGTGGGCCTATGGGCAGGGATTGCCTGTGTTTTTCCTCAGATAGCCTTCAGATTCTCGAAGTAATCTGCTAAGTTCCAGAAGCACTCAGCTAGTTGGCAGTCCTTTCCCCCAAATGTGCAGTGGAAAAACCAGGCCCAGGGCTGCCCAGGTGGCTCAGTCGGTTAAGCATCTGACTCTGGATTTCCACTCAGGTCATAATCTCGGGGGGGTCGTGAGATCAAGCCCAGAGTCAGGTTTCATGCTGGGCACAGAGCCTGCTTAAGACTCTCTCTCTCCCTCTCCCTGTGCCCACCCTCTGCTCTCTCACTCACTCTCAAAAACAAAACAGAACAAGCGCAAGGTTGACTTTGCTTGTAAAGCCAGTAATAATAATAGTTAATTTTTGGTTACTTATGTGCAGGTGCTTACTATGTGCAGGTGCTGCTCTTGGCATGGAACATGTGTTACTTAAACCTTCACAACAACCTTATGGGGAAGTTCTGTTATTACCCCCATCTTACAGAAAAGGCAAAGGAGACGAAGAGTTTATGTACTGTGTTCTCTCTCACAGTCCTCTAACTAGTAAGAAGCAGTGATAGAATTTGGTAATAAGGGATAAGAATAAGGTAATAAGGAATAAGACTTGGTAATAAGGGATAATTAAATAGTTCATAGTATATGGGGCGCCTGGGTGGCTGGTTAAGCTTGGACTCTTGGTTTCAGCTCAGGCCATGATCTCATGATTGTGGGTTCCAGCTCTGCGTTGGGCTCTGTGCTCAGTACAGAGTCTGCGTTAAATTCCCTCTCCCTCATCGTCCCATTCACTCTGTCCCTCTTT